CTGGTAGATGATGACGTTGGGGTGCTACTCCGGGCACTGTATCCGTGGTGTGGGTCCCTCCTGGCCGTGCTGGGGGACCCCGTGGTGCCAGGACTCCCACGAGCCCCAGCCCCGCCCCTCCCCCCAGCTCCCCGTCCAACACCACGGACACACGGACGCACAGACAGCCCTGGCTCAGGAGTTCCAGCCTGAACTTGAACAAACCTGCCAGGCGGTTCTTTGATTGTTCGGGGGTTGTACCCAGAGATGCCCAGGGGGAATGACTTCTGCCGGGGCCCGAGGGGACCACATGAGGTGCCGGGGACCGAACCCAGGTCAGCTACGTGCGTGGCCAACACCTTCCCGGCTGTACACTATGGCTCCAGCCCCTCCCCCGGGCAATTCTGTGAGAGTTGTTGTGCTCGGCAAAGAAGGGTAGAATGTTCCAGCGGGAAGAATAGTGCTTTGTCTGCCCGCAGCGGTCGCAGGCTTACGTCCAGACCCAGCCGATTGCACTGATTCATTCAGCTGTCCATTCACACTCTCATCCATTAACTGGCCCAGCCAACAAAGGAGCCTGTCCACCCACCCACCCTCCCAGCCAGCCCGCCTCTCTGGCTCCCTCTCAGTTTCTCCGTCCCCAGAATCTGTGACACAGTCCAGGACAACTCCCTACGCCCCTTCACGGTGCCCATACCTGCCTGGAGATGTTTTTGGCGGTTGCTGCAGGAACGGCCCTACTGGCTTCTAGCGGGCAGGTCTGGGGGTGTCACTAACCACCCGGCACTCAGAATCCCCCTTCAGCGTGGTGGGGCTGAGGGACGCGGCACAGCCGGCGGACACAGTGCCACTGACTGGCCTGGGTACCCGCTTCCTGACCCGACACCTGACCCAGGGGCCAGGCACGTGCTGAGACGCACAGGTAAAAGGGACACAGAAATACAGGTGGGGTCGGGTGAAGCACAAGCCTGGCACGTGAGAGGCCAAGTCTGGCCCAGGGCCTGGCACTGCTGCGGGTGGCCCGAGCAGGCCGGGGTCCAGCGGTGTCCCCAGGGCCCTGCGGGGATCCCCTGACAGGAAAGCGCAGCGAAAAGGCACAGGGTCCAGGGGCCCGGCCGACATCTGCAGTGCCCCCAGTCTCAGCACCCGGACATGCGAACCCAAAGCACTCACAGCTCCAGAGTGGCAGGAAGGTGCCCAGTTGCCAGCACTGGCAGCAGCAGAGAGAACAAGTGTTGTCGAGGAGCTGGGGATGGCGGGGACGGCAGGACGGCGGCAGCTGGAGGGGAGGGGGCCAGCATCGGCCACGACTGCTCAGAAGGGGAACCAGACAGTCACCTCACCATTGGCAGGCAGTGTGTGTATGTGTGTGTGTGTGTGTACAGGTGTGTGGCATGTTTATGTGTCTATGTGTGTGCACAGGTGTGTGTGGTGTACTGTGTGACGTGTGTATGTGGTATCTGTGCAGGCATGAGGTGTATGTGCAGTGTGCGTACGTGTGCATGTGTGTGGTACCTATGTGCACATATGGTGCATGGATGGTGCACACGTGTGTGGTCTATGTGCAGGGTGTGTATGCATGCATGTGGCGTGTGCAGTGTGTGGTGCATATGCGTGCATGTGTATGTAGTGTATACAGGTGTGTGACGTGTCTGTGTGTGACGCGTGTGGTCTATGTGTTGGCGTGAGGTGTATGTGGTGTGTCTGCGTGCAGGTGTGTGGTACCTATGTGCACGTGTCGTGGGCACGGATGATGAGTACGTGTGTGGCATGTGTGCAAGGTGTGTATGCATGTGTGTGGTGCATATGTGTGTGGCACACGCATGTGTGTTGCATGTCTATGCGTCTACGTATGTGATGTGTATGTGGTGTCTGTGTAGGTGTGAGGTGTAGGTGTGATATGTGTGTGTGTGTGCATGTGTGTATGTGTGCATGAGGGTGTGTGTGTGTGTGTGTGTATGTGTGGACACTGCCCCCACCCCATGCACTCAGTTTTGCTGGGCTTTCAGCACACGACAGGCTGGCTGCGGGGTCCCCAGCCCCTGCACCCTAACCCTACCGAGAGCCAGACCCTTCGCAGGGTCCCTGCCCCCAACCCCGGCCAAGGGGACCGACCGCTCCTGCAGCCTGTTCTCACCAAACAACTGTCGCAGAGTCCTCTGGGCACATTCTCCCTCGGGGACACCCTCGGGGTGACCCAGAACACTTCAGCCCGGACGCCCCTGCCCTGCCTCTCCTAGGCCCCGGCAGTGGGCAGCTGGGCCCAGGGTTCAGCAGGGCCATGTTTTGGCCCAGGGACCTTCTGAAGATGATGCCAGAATGAGGCCATCTCTGAAAGCATTCGCCACAGGTGCAGCTCTGAGCCCTCCAGCAGGAGGGGTGTCGGGGAGTGGGAGGGGGTGAGGCCCTGAGCTGAGCTAGTCCTCTGAACTCTGACCTCGACGAGTGAGCGGGGTTCTTCTCCTGTTTGGGAGGGGTGGCTGGGCAACCCCACCCCACCCAGCACACCCCGAGAAAATAGACCTGAGCCACGGGGCGGAGCACTGGGGGTGACCCTAGCCAGGGGGAGTCAGTACCAGGCTCCCTGTCGGCATCCAGGGTCACGGGGCACCCCAACCAAGAAGGAGGCTGCAAGCCCTGCTCCGGGCAACTTCGGAATACCCCCAGACCGGATTCAAAGAGGAAGACTCAGACTGTGGGAGACGCGTGCCAGCTGCCGGCTGGCAGGAGGCAGGGGTGAGGCTTGCGGGTGCACGCCCCAAACGCTCTGTCTCTGGGAGGGCCCTGCGGGTCCTTGACCGCTGGGGATGAGTCTCCCCGAAAGCGCCCTTCCCCCAGCCTCGTAACCTTGCACTTGTGACTCTGCCCCCGGCCCGAGCAGGCTGGCAGCCCGGGCGAGGGATACGGCTTAGCTCCCTCCGCAGGGCTGGATTGGGGGGCGGCAGCCGCATTTGGGGCCTTAAGGAGCTCCCTGCCCGATCCCAGGGCGCCGTCAGGAACCCCCTAGCCCCCGACCTACACCTCCCGCCCGTCACCCTCTCAAGTTCTGAACTCCATCTTGGGGCCTTGAGCCTGGCTGTGACCCTCCGGGCTGGAGCGAGGGGAGCCCCTGCCAAGGCCTCCCATGTCTGGAGCCCAGTTGCCTGGCCCAGCTGGGGGGCCTGGGAGAGCCTGGGGTCAGGATTCGGGGGCTCCGGCTCCTTCCCTGTCCCTCGCCTCAGGATCCAAGCAACTCTCGGGGGCCAGGGATGGGGATGATGGCCAGAGGGGAGCCCCCGTGTGGGCGACTCTGACCTCCTGGTACCCTTCCCCATGCCCGGAATGAGCCCAGGGTGCTTCCCACAGACGTCGAGGCCCCCTGCGTTGCAACAGCCCCCATCTGCAAACCCGACGGTCAGGGCTCGGCCAGCCCAGGTCTGACCCGGACTCGGCAGGAAGGATCTCCGGGGTGCGCAGACGCCAACTTCCGGGCCAGGGCTGTCTGTTTCGGGGGGCCCGGGCTGACTTCCGGCTCGTCCCTTCCCCAGCAGCTGTGTGGGGCTTCCTGGGCCTCTGCACCTCCTCTGACAAGGGGGGTTAGGGGCACCCAGCGCCCAGCAATGTCCACGGCGAAGGCAAAGGTGAAAGCGCACGGCCCAGACCCCGGAACCAGCCTCGCCACCCACTGCCCGGGTGACCTTGAGCAAGCGCCCCCCCACCTTGGGTTCGGCTGTCACGTGGTGGGTGGCGGCATCTTAGCGAGAGCCCAAGAAGGTCTCTGGGGGCAACCTGGCGGAGGGGGTCTCGGGGGCACAGGAGATGCACACTGCACCCCAGGGCCCTTCATGGTCTGTCCCCTGCTGCCCCCTTCCCTTATGGTCACCAAGGCCCTGTCCCTCCGTCCAGTTTCCTCACCGCAGCCAATGCCACCCCTTGGCCAGAGCACGGCCCATGCAACCTCTCTGGCCCGTGCGACCTCTCCTTGGCCCAGCCTGGGGAAATCTTTCAGGCAATGCCCACCAGAGCTGGGGGTGGGGGAGCCCCCAGGAGCACTCGGCCCCTGGCCCGGGATGGTCCCAGGGAAGCTATTCTGCACAATGCCCGTGAGGGTGGGTGGGGGGCGCATTTCTGCTCTTTCATAGGACCCCTGTCAAGACCCCCCATTGGCAGGAGGGTGAGACTCTGTGGGCTCCTGAGGGGTTCCCAGCTTTGGGGACCCTTGAAGGACTTGAATCTCACTCAGTCCCTCCTTCGGCCTCACCATCGGCACAGCCCGAAGGGAAGGGTGGAACAGCCGGGTGGGATTATGCTGGGGGCATCGGGACAAGGGGAGTCTTGGCAGGTGGCATTTTGGTGGAAAGCCAGAGAGGGGTGGAGGAAGGTGGGCGTTGGTCAGAGGAGGCCCAGCCCCCTTGCCTAGGGTGAACACCGAGCTGCCTTTAGCAGGGGCGGGGAGGGGGCTCGGTGGGGACGGGGGCTTCCTGGGGCCAGTGTCTGAAGAGGAGGTAGGCCTCCCTGTGGATTCCTGCTGGGGGGCTGTTCCCAGGTGCCGGGGACCCCCGCTTCCCATGGTAATGGGGCGGGGGGGTGAGGGTGCGGAAGGGGGGGGGTCTTTGGCTGAGCTGCTCGCCCCTTTCAGCATCTGAAGCAGGGACAGGGGGGAGGCGAGCCCAAACTTACTCATTTTTTGGGGGGGGAGAAAGCGGGGGGCACCTATCTTCCAAAAGAACGGTGCCCTAGAGAAGCCGGGGCAGGCCAGACCCCACTTCAGAGGGGGGAGGGGGGGCACAGTCCATGCCAAGGGGTCGTCGTCTAGGGCAGAAAATTCATTCCTGCAGCTTGGGGCTGGGAGGGAGGGAGGATCCCCGGTTCCGACAGAACAGGGGGGCAGGAGACGCGTCCCTGATCCGGTGGGGGCGCGGACCCAGAACCCCGCTCCGGGGGGCGAGGCCCCCCAGCGCTGCCCCCCTTGGAGGACGCCAGGCCGCGGGGTCGGGCCTGGGCCCCGGGCGTGAGGACGCGCCCCCCGCGCCCGGCCTTACCTCCAGGCTGGGCTGGGCCGTGCGGGCTCCCCGGGCACCGGCTGGGCCGTGCGGGCTCCCCGGGCACCGGCTGGGCCGTGCGGGTCCCGGGCACAGGCTGGGCCGTGCGGGCTCCCCGGGCACCGGCTCCGCGCGCCGCTCGCTCGGGCTCTGCCCGGCTTCCCCCAGCGACTCGCGGGCCGCCCCGGCTCCGCCCAGCCGCGCCGGCCAATCAGCGACGCCGGCCCCGGCCCCCCGCTCGCGCCCCAGCCAATCAGCGCGCCCGTTCCGGGCCACCGCCCCCGGGGGGGGAGGGGGAAGGCGGGGCGGGGGCAGAGTCCGGCCCCGGCGGGTGCGGAGCCCAGGGGGGCCCCCAGGAGGGACCGCGAGGGCTGCGGCCGGCCCCGGGGGGTGAGGACCAGGCGGCCCGGGACCCCCGCGGCCGGAGGGAGGAGGGGGAGGCTCGCTGGAGGAGGTGGGGGGAATTGGACGCCCAGACCTCAGTTACTATCCCCTCACCCTTGGCTGGACCCCCAGCCGCCCCGCCTGCACCCCGAGGCCCAGATCCGGGCCTGGAGGCAGAGGCGGAGCACCCTCACGCCGCACCCGCCTCCCTGTCCCGCAGGGCCCCCCCACCTCCCGCTCAGACCTCCCGCAAGTTGCCTTCCAGCTGGCAAGACAAAACGGCCTGTGTGGGGGGGCTGGCCTGGGGGGCGGGGGGCGAGAGCCAGGCCAGGGGCCCTGGGCCAGGGGCGACTCCTGCTCTCTGTGCTCCCTACAGGGAATGCATGCGACAGCTGTGCCCCCTTCCCGGGTAGGAGGGAGACTGGGGGTTGGGGGGTAGGGTTGAGGCTGAAGGTGCTTTCGATCAAAATTAAAATTCTGTCTACAGGGCTTGGAGGTAGGGTGCTTGCTTTGGACGCAGATGATGTGGATTCAATCCCTGGCACCATGTATAGTCCCCTGAGCCCTTGGGTGTGGTTCCTAACCAATCACACACACACACACACACACACACACACACACACACACGCACATTAAAAAATAAATAAATAAAAAATAAGTTCATGGTTTGGGGTGTATTGGTTTTGTTTCTGTTTTTGCTCCACTCCGGGCGGTGCTCAGGGCTTATTTGCTCCTGGCTGTGCTCAGGATGGAGCTCCCGGGACTATATGGGCTGCCAGGGTTTGAACCTCGCTGGGCTGTGTACAAGCCAAGCGCCCTTGTAGTTTATTGGGAAAATACCTTGCAAGTATGAGAGACCCTGGGTTCAAGTCCCCAGCTGCAATGGTCCCCCACCACCTCCAGGAGGGCACCCAGCTATACCCTGCAGTGTGTGACCCCCCCCAAAAGAAAAAGTAAGCAGTTAATACCGCAGTGTGAATGCGGGCAGTCCATGGACTGAGTGGGTTAGCTGGAGCGAGAACACAGGCATTCCGTGGCTTAACTAAGACACTGAGTCTGCCCTGGCACCACCCAAACCCTCCGGAGGAATAATTGGATGCAGGGGCCAGACTGTAACCTTTAACCGTAAAGAACATACAACTTAGCACATGCAGAGAGGCCTCCGGACTTTGCACCAGGCCACTTTCACCGAACTACTCCAGGCCGAAGCAGGTGCTGTCCCTCCGCCTGCCCCCTAGGAATCCCGGCGAACCAACTCCCAGAACCCAGTGAGAAGCCCAGGTACGCGGGAGCAGTAACGGCAAACGCCAGGCCTCACGGGACAGGGGATGAGCCAGTCCCTCTCGTCCCCTTGCCCCATGGGACCCTGAGAGGATGCCCACGAACTGCCCCCAGCTACTATTGAAGCTTCTTAACGGCCAGGATTCAGAGACACAAAAAAGAATCTCGGAACTGAGCAGCTCACTGCAGAGATCTCTCCAGATGCGAATTATCTACGATTTTGGAATTCCAGGACCTGACGCTATTCATAACAAGCGATACAAAATAAATTGTCTAGCATTGCCTTTTCAATAGGTTTGAGTGATGGCAGGCAAATGTCAAATAATAATGGTGGGACTGGTGTCGAAATATTGAATGTAATCAATGGAGAGAGAGAGAGAGAGAGAGAGAGAGAGAGAGAGAGAGAGAGAGAGAGAGAGAGAGAGAGAGGAATGTTGTGGAAACTGTCTTCCATAGAGGCAGGGGAAGTGTTGGGATTTTGGTGTGCACTGGTGGAGGGATGGGTGTTTGATCATTGCATGACCGAAACTCAAACATGAAAGCTTTGTAAATATCTCACAGTGATTCAATAATTTTAAAAGAAGAATATACAGCTTTTGGCTAAAGTGATTGTACAGCGGGGAGGGTGTTTGTCTTGCCTGCGGCATATCCGGGTTCAATCCCTGGTATCCGAAAGTGTCTCCCAAGCACCTCCAGGAGTGATTCTTGAGTGCAGAGCCAGGAGTACCCCTGAGCATCGCCAGGTGTGACCCCCCAAAGCCAAACAAACGAAAGAATACAGCTTGGTATCCCTCCATCAGTCTGTCAAGATCTTTATTTATTTTGGGGGGGTATACCTGGTGGTTCTGGGGGGTGGTGCCCCCTGCTGTGCTGCGGGGCTGTACTGGTGGGTGGGAGAGGAACGTTCCGGTATGAGGGATCAAACCCGGGACTCCTGCAAACCAAGCGCATGTTCAGTCCGTGGGCCTGACCCCGCCCCTCTGCTGGCATCTGGCAGAGCTGAGACCCCTTCCTTCCGGCTGCCCGTGAACCCTGGCCACGCTCTCTCTTGCCAGGCGGACCCTTGCCATCCTGGGATTAACGGAAAGGTACTAAGACTTGAGATAAGGGCAAAGCAAACAGGCGGCCCCCAGCCCCGCCCTTCTCCAAGGCCAAGAAACAAGAAATAAGAACTGTTGGGGTCGAGATGCTCGGCCCCCCCCTTCCCGTGAAGGAAGACTCCAAGAGACTTTTTCACGCAACACGCACAGGGTTTATTGTCCAAGCATGCTGGCGCTCACTACACGTCCTGAAGACAGGACAGAGGCAGAGAGCCCCGAGCCAAAGTACAGTGGGTTTTTATAACCGAGAATAAACAAAGGAATCTTACAGTACAGCAATCGGCAGCTTCACCAAGAACAGCAGGACACTGGCACAAGATTAACTTCTTGGGAACATCTGAGCACATGTCCCCATATCCGGCCCAACCACAAGGTCATAGCAGGGGGTAGGTGGGAGCTACATTGTAACTCAGTCAGCTTTTATAACTATTATAACATTATAACAAAGTCAGCTTTTGCAACTCCAGCTTTCACAGCTTTGACCGTTTTCTGGTTAACTCTTTCCTACGGAACGGACAGGAATGGGACCCAGCCCCGGGCGGAAACCACAGCTCCGCCCGGCTGTCTGGTGGATCCAATCCCCCAGCAGGTCGGATGTACTGTGTGTTCAGCTGATGAATCTCGGAGTGTTTCCTTCAACCCGGGCCAGGCAGATAAGCCCGAGACCCACCCCAAGATGAAATAGTCCGTGAACTCGGGAGGAAAGTTTGTCCAGGAGAGGCGGGCTAGACAGATGGCTGGTTTTATGGTCCTGCTTACCACCGTTTGCAGTTGGTTTCAAGGATGCAGATAATTCCAGAAGCTCTGGGTGGGAATGCAAAGTGCACAGTCTTTTGGAAGGAGAACTGAGTCTTTCTGCCACCCAATTCCTCCCTCCCTCCTTCTTCCTTCCCTCCCTCCTTCCTTCCTTCCTTCCTTCCTTCCTTCCTTCCTTCCTTCCTTCCTCCCTCCCTCCCTCCTTTTCTCCCTTCTCCCTCCCTCCCTCCCTCCTTTTCTCCCTTCTCCCTCCCTCCCTCCCTCCTTCCTTCCTTCCTTCCTTCCTTCCTTCCTTCCTTCCTCCCCTCCATCCCTCCCTCCATTCCTCCCCTCCCTTCCTTCCTTCCTTCCTTCCTTCCTTCCTCCCTCCCTCCCTCCCTCCCTCCCTCCTTTTCTCCCTTCTCCCTCCCTCCCTCCCTCCCTCCCTCCCTCCCTCCCTCCCTCCTTTTCTCCCTTCTCCCTCCCTCCCTCCCTCCCTCCCTCCCTCCCTCCCTCCCTCCTTCCTTCCTTCCTTCCTTCCTTCCTCCCCTCCATCCCTCCCTCCATTCCTCCCCTTCCTTCCTTCCTTCCTTCCTTCCTTCCTTCCTTCCTTCCTCCCCTCCCTCCCTCCCTCCCTCCTTCCTTTCTTCCTTCCTTCCTTCCTCTCTCCTCTCTTTTTGGGTCACACCCGACGATGCTCAGGGGTTACTCCTGGCTCTGCACTCAAGAATCACTCCTGGCGGTACTCAGGGGAGCTCGGAAGGATGCCAGGGATTGATCCCAGCTTGGCTGTGTGCAAGGCAAACGCCCTCCTCACTGTGCTATTCTGGCCCTGGGCACCCAATTTCTTCAAAGCCAGCTTCCCCCGATTCAGCCACCTGACTTATCTCTCCACATGAATAAAACAGCCCACAAGTTTAGTGAGGGGCCAGGGAGACGGCAAAGGGGATCCGGCACATACTTTGATTTGATACTCAGCCCTGCATGGTCCCCCGAGCACTACTACCAGGAGTGACTCCTGAGCACTGGGCTGAGAGTAGCCCTGAGCACTGAGCTGGTTCCTCCCACCCCCCCAAAAAAAAATTTATCGACTCAGTGTCTGCTTGTTCTTTTGTTATTTTAGCCAAAGACTGGAAGCAACTTAAATGTGCATCAGGGACACTGCAGTTCCACATCATGGGCGGGAAATGTTGGCGGGTGGAGAAGTGGGATCCAGTCAGACGTCTGCTGCAATCATTTACTCGGTACTGATCTGTGCCTGGGTAGAACCGGGCTGGCTGGGAGGACTTTCTGCGATGCTGGATGGGTGGAGGGTCCATGTTGTCCAGTGAGTGGCAACGATGGGCCTTAGAGAAGGGCTGAGCGTGTGTCCGGGCTCGCATTGGCTAAGAAACTGCGTTTGGGTTTTATTTTCATTTCTTCCTTCTCAGGCCCCACTGGGATGAGATGACGCCTGGCTCTGCGCTTAGAGGTCACATGATGGGACCACATGTTGTCAACGACAGAACCAGGGTCGGCCTTAACTCCTCCACTATCTCCTGGGCCCTGGGTTTTTACATATGAAATGTAAAGCCGGGAGAATTGGCTGGAAGACGCCTGTCTGGTGAGCCAGGGAAAAGAGAGACACGCAAACATCCAACACCCCATAGGAAGGTACAGGTTTTGTGGGGGTAAGGCAGTGCCCCTCCCTGGGACACCCCTCGTGGCAGTCTCGGGAC